GTTACCATCTTAATATTGAGCCTTCCAACCCATAAATATGGTGTATCCATTTCCTTGAAATGTTAATCACTCAGTTGTGTCTGACTCTTTGCAACCCCAAGGACTGTAGCCTGCCAGACTCCTCCGTCCATGGGATTCTCCAGGCAAGAGTTCTGGAGAGGGTAGACATTCCCTTCTCCAGGGAATCATCCCTACCCAGGGAACCCAGGTCTTCTGCATTGCAGGCAGATTCTTTAATATCTGAGCCACCAGGGAAGCCCTTAGGCATCTGAAAATTTCTTACAGCAATGTTTTGTTTTCAGAGTACAAGTTGCATATATTTTGTTAAATTTGTTAATATTTCCCATTTTTGCATTCCTATAGTTTAATATACATGTATATATTCTACTTTGATATAATATGTAGTATGTAGTTTTCATATAGTACATTACATGTAGTATTTAATATATAGTTTATAGCATAATAGGGGATGACGGGGGATGAGACGGTCGGATGGCATCACCGACTTGATGGACGTGAGTTTGCGCAAACTCCAGGGTTGGTGATGGACAGGGAAGCTGGGTGTGCAGCAGTCCATGGGGTCACAGTCAGACACGACTGAGTGACTGAACTGAACCAAACTGATACAATATATTACATATTCTGATCAATACCACCTCGACCCAAAGACTTTTCCATCCCAGTTCATGGCAATGCCATCCTTCCAGTGTCTCAGGCCCCAAACCCTGGAATTATTGAATCCTTATTTCTCTAACACTACTTATCCTATCTGTTAGGAAATCTGCAATGAATCAAAGATTTATCACATCTGTTACCTCCCTGGTGCAAATCACCATTGGCACTCATCCAGATTACTGGTCTACCTCTCTCTGCCTTTTCCGCTCTTCAGATTCTATTTAAGAAAGCGGTCAGAGAAATGCTGTGAAACCTAAGTAATGCCAGGTGCCTCTCCTCAGTTCACTGTGAGTAGAAGCTCGCTGAGCTCAGCCCAGTGGACAGCATCGCCTTTCTGACCTCATTTCCGTCCACTGTCCACCTTGCTCGCTGCTCCAGCCACACTGGCTTCTCTGCTGTTCCTGAATCACACCAGGCATCAGGGCTATTGTGAACGCTGTTCCTTCTGCCCAGAATGCGGTGGGTGTCTGTGCGACTAACTTCCTTGCTTCCTTTGATCCTTTGCTCAAATGTCATCTACTGTCTTCCCTGTTTAATGCCAAACACAGACACTTCCTCCCCATGACTTCTGACTCCCTTCTCCTGTTCTATTTTCCATTCCCCCCCCCCCATAGAATTTATAAATTGCTAGGGTACTCTATAATACTAATTATCTTTATTGTCTATTATCAGCTTTCCTCTGGTAGAATGGAATTCTCCCAGGACAGAGATTCTTGTCTGTTTTGTTCACTGGTGTATATTATTTGCTCATAAATGTGCCTGGAACATAGCAGATGCTCAATAAATATTTTCCAGGTGAAGGAATGAATGATTTCTGAGCTTTCCTTCAGCCTGAAGAGTCTTCTGATTTTAAGACTCTGCTGGAAAAAAGTCCTCACCACCTCAGAGAATGTCGTCAATCTCTTTCTCCTTCCAGTAGGTGGCGGTCTTCACCTTCAACGCAGGCTTCCAGGAGCCTCAAGTTTGAAACCACTGATTCCTGCATGGCAGGCAGATTCTTTACCGTCTGAGCCACCGGATCCTAATTTCTGTTAGGAATCAACTTCATTCTCGGGATAAGTTGTTATTGTTGTTCAGTCGCTCAGTCGTGTCTGACTCTTTGCGACCCCATGAATTGCAGCACGCCAGGCTTCCCTGTCCTTCACCATCTCCTGGAGTTTGCTCAAACCACTGTCCATTGAGTCAGTGATGCCATCCAGCCATCTCATTCCCCCCTCATCCCCCTCTCCTCCTGCCCTCAGTCTTTCCCAGCATCAGGGTCTTTTCCAGTGAGTCGTCTCTCCTTATCAGGTGGTCACAGTATCGGAGCTTCGGCTTTAGCATCAGTCCTTCCAATGAATATTCAGGGTTAATTTCCTTTAGGATTGACTGGGGATAAGAAGGGACATGATTTAAAATTTCCTGCAGGGGGCAGCATTGTTTAGCAGAAAGAGGGGAGTCTGGCCATCAGGCACCTTTGACTTTGGTCAAGTTGCTAAGCTCTGGGACTAGGTAGCTCCAAAGCAGAGGAGAGGGTAATCCCCCCCGCCCCCCAGTCCCCCCACCACACACACACACAAGGAGGGCTGATGTAAGAGTTAAACTGGATGTGTTCACGATGAGCGCGTGGTGCGCGCTGCGGTGTTCGCACCCTCTCCTCGCTCCTTCTAGCACTCCCCTGCCGCTGGGCACTGGAGACACCTGCATGAGTGGGTCAGAGGTAGGAAGAAGGGGCAAGCGGTGAACAGGAGGGGATACTCATGGTGGGAGGGAAGCTGGTGGGGGTCTGTGGGAAGGAGCTGAGTGGTAGGAAGGGGAGGACATCTCAGTGACCTTGAATCCTGACATTGGTGCCCAGCCTGCATGCATCGAGACTCTAGGTCAGCAATTAAAGAAGCAAACAGAAAACTGCTATCAGCCTGGGAGCCCAGCTCAACCCAGAAAGTTGCTTATGACAAATCACTTCTTTCAGAAGCTGCTCCTGGAGCTTGTCAGGCATGAATACTGACAAAGCATGATGATTTTTCACAGGCTTCCCTGGTGGCTCAGATGGTGAATAATCTGCCTGCAATGCAGGAGACACGGCTTTGATCCCTGGGTTGGGAAGATCTGGTGAAGGGAATGGCTACCCACTCCAGTATTCTTGCCTGGAGAATCCCATGGACAGAGGAGCCTGGCGAGCTACAGTCCACGGGGTTGCAAAGAGTTGGACACAAATTAGTGACTGAACAACAAAAAAACAGTTCAGATTGCTGGTTACTGTCAATTCCTGCTCCCCTACCCCCATCCCCCGAGAACACCCACACAAGAACACCAGTGGTTGAACAAGGTGGGTTTATTGCTCTTTGCAGAACAACTGGACGCTCACCCTAGGGATGCACAGAGGCTGGAGAGGACTCCATCTAAGGATGCTGTGCGTGAGTTGCTTAGTCGTGTCTGACTCTTTGCAACCCCATAGACCGCAGCCCACCAGGCCCTTCCGTCCATGGGATTCCCCAGGCAAGAACACTGGAGTGGGTTGCCATTTCCTTCTCCAAAAGAAACTGTAGAAAGAAAGTGAAGTCCTCAGTCATGTCTGACTCATTGTGACCCCATGGACTGTAGCCTCCCAGGCTCCTGCATCCATGGGATGTACTGGAGTGGGTTGCCTTTTCCTTCTCCATCTAAGGATGTTAGAAGCGACTTAAAGGATTTGGACTTGCTTTGTGAGATTTTGGCCCAGTTTCAAGGAGGCTGGTTTTCCCTGGATGCTGCCAGGAAGCAAGTGGGAAGGAGTAATCCTTCATGTGCTGTGTCTTCAGTCGTGTTCAACTCTGCGACCCCATGGACTGTTGCCCTCCAGGCTCCTCTGTCCATGAGATTTCCCAGGCAGGAATACTGGAGTGGGTTGCCATTTGCCTCGCCAGGGGATCTTCCTGACCCAGGGATTGAACTCATGTCTGTTACATCTCCTGCATTGGCAGGTGGTTTCTTTACCGCCGAGCCACCAGGGAAGGCCACAGGGGCTGGATCTCACTGATATTCGCCGATTCCTGGGCTCAGCAGGAGGAACGAGCCACTCGACTTGGCCAGCCTGAGTCAAGAAGGCAGAAGACCCTTGGAATGGCTGCTTGATTAGTGCCCTGCAGGGACAAAGCAGGCTCGGGGGGAATAGAAAACCGGAGGCTAGTCCTTACTCCCCTGGGCCCAGCGGTCTGATCTGATATTATACTTGGGATGCCAAGTCCAAAGGCCAGAGTTTGTCCTGATGACGATACCTGAACTCTGCCAATGGAAACTCACTCCCTGCTCCCCCCGCCAGGAAATGATGGGCTCGGGTTCACTTGCAACACAAGCTCACAAAGGAAGGTCCAGCTAGGTCTCTGCCAGCACCTCCAGCTAGCCTCCCCTCCGTCTCTGCTGCCTCGCCTGCCTGCCCACTCTCCTCCAGGGGCTGTTTGGAGGGGGCCGTGGGGTTCGAGTTTCTATTACAAAGACTTCTCTCCATTTTGAGGCCAGCACAGATTTTTTTCAGAATGATTTTTCAAAAAAAAAAAAAAAAATCAGCAGAGCCCGCCTCCCTGCTTCCACCTAATTCCCCTGGTAATTAGGTGAGATTCGGAACCATTTCCTCGGTCTCAAAGGCCCGCGTGATCTCCTCTAGATTACTTTTCTGACTTGACTTCTCCCCTCTGCTCCCCTTATTTTTCCCTCACCTCCTCAAAATCAGCAAGTTCTTTTCTGCCTCAGGGCCTTTGCACTTGCAGGGCCTTCTGCCTGGACCACACCCCTTCCCAACATCTAGTCTTAGGGAGCCATTTCCTGACCAGCCTTCCGAAAGTGGTTATTGCACCAAAATTCCCCACGGATTCCCTCCACTGTTATCATCACCTATACTTGTTTTGTTAGCTTATTTGCTTGTTTGTTTCTGATCTGTCTCTCTGACCAGAGAGGAACCTCATGAGGGCAGGGACCTTGTAGAGCAGGGAGGCTGATGTCATCCCATAAGGACGCTGCACACGAGACGCAAGGGTGTGGATGAGCCACTTGGCACACAGTGACCTTCTCAGCGAGACTTCTTTGGTGTGTGTGTGCGCTGTCATGTCCAACCCTTTGTGGTCCCGTGGACTGTAGCCCACCAGGCTCCTCTGTCCATGGGATTTTCCAGGCAAGAATACTGGAGTGGGTTGCCATGCCCTCCTCCAGGGGACCGTGCTGACCCAGGGATGGAACCCGTGTCTCCTGCATCTCTTCCATTTTCAGGCAGATTCATTACCACTAGCGCCACCTGGGAAGCCTTGTGCTCTAAACATATATTTGAAATCGAATTATTCATCTTTTACTTTGCTTCCTGTCTTATCTCACAGAAGCAGAAACTGCCAAGGGATCAAGCAGGCATTCACGAGTGCATTCATTTCCAAGGATCCCTGCAAAGCAACAAAGGAGGACTACAAACCCCTGCTAGACCTGGCGTATACCACTGTGCCTTGTGACAAGGTACCTGGGGCCAAGTTATGGATTTAAAAACTGAGGTTAAAAGCCAAAGGGGAGAGGTCATGATCAGGGTGAGGGAAGAGGAAAATTGGATATTAGGGTGTAGGCTTGATTGGCAGGGAGGGAGCTTGCTGGCCTTTGGGAGACCAGGATGTCACAGGGATTCAGGACACCCCAGGGGACAGGAGGTGAGAGAGGGAATTGGGGATATAGAAAGAGGAAAGGAAAGTTGGCCAAAAACCAGGCAAAGCAAATCTAACGTAAATCCCAACCCAATCCAAACAGAAGTGATCCACCTGATAAAATTCAAAACTCTCCCTGACCTCTGGTGATGGTGATGCTGGTAACAGCAATGCCTTTTTGAATTTTCTGAATTTTCTAAATTTTTTGTTTATAAAGGACTCTCTGAACCTTATCCTGTTAGGTTTTCACTGTCAACTTGTGAAATAGACAGGTCAGGTATCAGTATCTCCATTTCACCAGAAAGAATACCGAGACTTCGTGAGTTTGGTGACCATGATGACTGAGTTTGATGGTCCTGAAAGTGCCCATCTGAAATGTACAGGGTTCAAGATTTAGAGCCAGACAGACCTGGATTTTAATACACTAATTATACCGGAAAAGGTCTATAACGGAGTGCATCTTTTCTTTTAAGAAAAACTTTATTTATTTTAATTGTAGGATAATTACTTTACAGTATTGTGATGGTTTGTGCCGTACATCAATATAAATCGGCCATAGGCATACAGGTGTCCCCTCCATCCTGAGCTCCCCACTCCCACGGAGTGCATCTTTTCTAAAATCAGCGTTTAAGGTGGAAATTCACTGTGCCCCAAATCATCGTCATGTAGCCCTGAAGCCTTAAAGCCACGAGTTACAGCCCATGTTAGAGCTGCGGTTACTATAGAGCTCTGGTTGGTGCAACAAGCGCCAGGCCCTTCACAGAGGGGCTGCTCGTAGATTACCACCGGGAGATGCTGGCTGAAGAAGTGATGGGGCCGCGGACAGGAGACAAGCGCTTCCCTTGTATTGTCTCGTTTCATCTCAGCATCTCGGGGGTTCCTTACAGTTGTGATCGATGGGGGCTAAGAGGTCAGGAATCCGCCTGCCAGTGCAGGAGAGGGAAGAGACCAAGGTCTGATCCCTGGGTTGGGAAGATCCCCTGGAGGAAGGCATGGCAAGTGCTGGTTGCTAAGTTATGTCCAACTCTTTGTGACCCCATGGACTGTGGCCCACCAGGCTCCTCTGTCCATGGGATTCTCCAGGCAAGAATACTGGAGGGGGTTGCCATTCCCTTCTCCAGGGGATCTTCCCGACCCAGGGGTCAAACCCGGGTCTCACTTGTTACCATCCGAGCCGCTGAGGAAGCCCCTAAGGCTTCCCTGGGTCGGGAAGATACTCTGGAGAAGGAAATGCAACCCACTCCAGTGTTCTTGCCTGGAGAATCCCGTGGACAGAGGCGCCTGGTGGGCTGCAGTCCACGGGGTCACAAACAGTCAGAGACGACGGAGGTGACTAAGCGCACACACACCATCTTACGGATGGGGAACGTAAGGCTTAGAGATTCTTTAGTCGCCCGAGGTCAGACAGCTAGTGAGCAGTGATGCTCGGTTTTATACAGGCCTGACTCCAGGACCTGGCTTCAAAGGGCACCATTCACCACCTCCTACTGAGAATGAACAGATCCATGGAACAGAGATAGTTCTGAAATTCGACTTTACAAGGGATCTTTACAAGGGCCCCTGAGAGAGCTCACTGTATTTGTTCTTTTCCTTTGTTTGTAAAGGGCTAGGGGAGATTTGAGGGGGAAAGCAGGGATTATAGAGCTCTTTAAGAACCAATGAGCAGTTTTCCCAGAAAATGGCATGTAGAAAAAATTGTTTTGCCAAAAACGTTAGGAATTTGGAACTTCCTAATGCCTTCCCCAGATGTGTTTGGAGCTTTAAAAACACCAAGATTTTTTAAACTTTTGTACTTATTTAATTTTTGGCTGCACTTTCTAATTTAGTTTATTTTTGAATTTTTATTTATTTAATTTTGGGTCTGTTGCTGAGCTCAGGCTTTTCTCTGGTTTCGGTCCACGGGACCCTTGGTGCAGTGACTTTTCTTGTTGCAGAGCGGGGCGTCTAGGGGGCGCAGGCGTTAGTAGTTGTGGTTCACGGGCTTTGTTGTCTGCTGACATGTGGGATCTTCCCACATCAGGGATCGAACCTGTGTCCCCTGCCTTGGCAGGCAGTTTCTTAACCATTGGACCAGCAGGGACGTCCTATTATAAGATACTGATTAGTGGCTTTCAGGCTTCTTTCCTGCAATCCAGAAAAATCAGTTCACTTTCCATTGTGACCTAGAGCACACACACACACACACACACCCTCCCACTCACAGACAGAAATTGCTGATGCCCACCGTGCTTCCTCTTACAGAGGTGATTTATGCGATGTTTCCCATGTTTTCTTTCATTTACAGAAGATGCAGATTTGGTGTTTTTATTCAACTTAGTAAATCGATCTCAATAATAGATTGTGTTTATTCTTTCCTAGGCGGTCTTTTGGAGCAAAACAAAGGAGCTGGCTCATGAGTATGCGAAACGGCGGGGCCTGTTGACCCTGGAGGACACGCTGCTGGGTTCCCTTGCAGATGGCCTCAGCTGGTGCGGGGAGCCAGGCTCTCCTGGTGAGACTCGGGGCACGCGGGTGGCCCCGGGGACGGGCAGGGTGCAGGAGCCTCACACCTGGCTAGTGCTCTCACAGATGCCCCCGGCACTCTTGAGGACAACTCGGGCCAATGGAAGACAGCATCCTGTAGGCCCGCTCACGTTTTCTAGAAAAGAATAAATGACTTCAGGATTTGGGACTGCCCAAGCTTCCTGATTTTCTCCTTTCTGAGGGAAGGTGTAGCCTGCTTCGGGATGGTTGGTGGTCTGCTTTCTCTAAGGGCATCATTCAGGACCAAAGAATTCTCGGGCAGGAGGAGCCTCCAAGGGAAGCAGGTAGAAGTCCTTGATTTGCAGAACAACCCCAGGGCCACGGGCTGGGCTTCTCTGTCTCGGGCTGTGTGTAGCTTTGCCGGAGATGAGGGGTCCCTTTACCTTCCTAGAAAGACCTAGAACATCTCCCTGCCGGAAGGTATTTCTACTCAGAAGTCTGGTTGCACTGTCACTTCTTTTTCTCCTTCTCTTTTTATTTTCAATGTGAGTATTTTTACCTTATATAGTTTTACTCTTTTACTTTATATATTTTATTCTTTATATTATTTTATTGCTTTAGACTTACCCCCAAAAAAACTTACTGTGGTGGCTTCTTCAACCCAGATGTGCAGTGTTTCCAAATACAAAAAGGATGGACTCTTTTTTAAAAAATAATTTTTTAAATTTATTGATTTTTGGCCGTGCTGGGTCTTTGTTGCTGTCACGGCTTTTTCTCTAGTTGTGGCAAGTGGGGGCTACTGTCTAGTTGCCATGTGCGGGCCTCTCGCTGCCACGCCTTCTCTTGTTGCAGTCACGGGCTCCAGGGCGCGTGGGCTTCTGTAGTTGGGGCCCATAGGCTTAGTTGCTCCTTGGCATGTGGGATCTTCTTGGATCAGGCATCGATCCGTGTCTCCTGCATTGGCGGGTGGATTCTCCACCACTGAGCCACCAGTGAAAAAGTTGGCTTTAAGCTCAACATTCAGAAAACTAAGATCATGGCATCTGGTCCCATCACTCCATGGCAAATAGATGGGGAAAGAGTGGAAACAATGACAGACTTTATTTTGGGGGGGCTCCAAAATCACTGCAGATGGTGACTGCAGCCATAAAATTAAAAGACGCTTACTCCTTGGAAGAAAAGTTATGACCAACCTAGACAGCATGTTAAAAACCAGAGACATTATTTTGCCAGCAAAGGTCCATTTAGTCAAGACTATGGTTTTTCCAGTAGTCATGTATGGATGTGAGAGTTGGAGTATAAAGAAAGCTGAGCACCAATGAATTGATGCTTTTGAACTGTGGTGTTGGAGAAGACTCTTGAGAGTTCTTTGGACTGCAAGGAGATCCAACCAGTCCATCCTAAAAGAAATCAATCCTGTATATTCATTGGAAGGATGGATGCTGAAGCTGAAACTCCAATACTTTGGCCACCTGGTGACTCATTGGAAAAGACCCTGATGCTGGGAATGATTGAAGGCGAGAGGAGAAGGGGACGACAGAGGATGAGATGGTTGGATGACATCACCAACTCAATGGGTGTGAGTTTGAGTAAACTCCGGGAGTTGGTGATGGACAGGGAGGCCTGTCCATGGGATCACAAAGAGTCGGACGCCACTGAATGACTGAACTGAACTGAGCTGAGCCACCAGGGAAACTCCTCCATTTTTTTACAATTGAAATATAGTTGATTTACAGTGTTCTGCTGGTTTCTGCCATATAGCAAAGTGACTCATTTAAACTCACATATGCATTCTTTTCTAATATCCTTTTCCGTTATGATTTATCCCAGGAGATGGCATGTGGTCCCCTATGCTATACCATAGGACCTTGTTGTTTGCCTATCTTTGATTTTGAGGCTCAGCATATTTGTGTATTTAATGGTGGTCATTTCTATTCTTACTGTTAACTGACAGCTCATATATATTCACCCTTTTATTGGGATGTTTATTGCTTTCTTAAAGAAGTTCGATTTAAGTCGACAGTGGTGGCTACTATTTATTGGGACTTATAATAGCCCCAGTCATTGCTCTGTGTGCTGTATGAATATTTGCTCATTTAATCCTTAGGACTCCTACGATGATCCCATTGTACAGGTGAAAAGTCTGAGGCCCAGGGCTGCAGAGTGAGTTGTTGGCCAGTGAGTGGTGGAGCTGGAGCAGACCCAGGATTACTTGCTGAAGGATCTGTATTCTTAACCATGTGACATCCTGCCTGTTTTCTGTCACGTGTTTATGTTTCTCAGCTTCTGTTTTTTCATTTAATGGTGTTTGTATTCTGTGTTTTGCCTACAGAAATGCAGGCAAGCCTGTCAACCCTGTCCCATTTGGCTCCTGGGTTGCCTATTTTGCTTGGAGTTTCCTCATGCGAGATTGAAGTCTTCTATATTTTCCTCTAGTGTTTTTATTTTGTAATTTTCAATTCATCTTTAATCTAGACTTTTCACCTAGAAATATGACACATAAATATGTCTGTCCACTTTTTTTTCTTTTTGGCTAAATTCCAGTTTTCGCCATATTTCTTGCTTTCCTTTTTAAATTTCCCTTATTGTAAGTTGGGCTTCCCAGATAGCACTAGTAGGAAAGAGTCCACCTGCTTTAGCTTTTGATGTCATTCATTTAATCCTTTTAGCTTTTAAAGGTGTTTCCTTGAAACTTTTGAAGTTTTTTTCTTTCATTTCTTTCTTAGAGTGATAAGTATATAAATATCTACTTTTCATCTATTTACCATTTAGAGTTCTTTATTATTGCTCTCTTTTCAATTGAATCCCATATAGGTCATTTTATTTTGTCAGCTTCCTTCTTCTTTGGCCTGTTTTTATTGATTTTAACCTCTTCCCCTTATTTTATTTGTTGTCTTTCCATTCCTAATTTTTATGTTTTAATTGTTCTACAGTCTGGTGTTTTTCTTATTTTTTACTACATTAATTTTGCCTTGTTTGTTTTGTTATGAAAATGGTAGTTTCCATTGTAACCTTCTAATTTGTTTTTTAAAAAACTGTTTATTCTGCTCTTTAGGTACTTGATTTCTCTTTATTGTAAAATTTCTCTCCTTTTCGTTTTCCCTATGACTTTAAACTTTTGTCTAATGCGCAGGTGGCCAGGGGGAGATATCCTTATGGGCAGGAGGTAGGTGACAAACTCAGAGACTTCTCTCTGGCTGTGGTTGTGAAGATAAAAAAGCTTTATGTTCATGAAACCCTATAAACAGGGGCACCATTGTAGCACCTTACAAAATGTATGTTCACTTCATTATCATCAACATTTTTGCCTCTCTTGGAGATGATTCAAATTTATCTTTCGACTCCACAGTATTTATTTACATCTGTATGTGGAAAAGTTTTTGTTCTAATTTTGTTATTTTGTTTTTAATGCATTTGATTATTATGGAAACCCTCAGGTTACTTCCTCATCCCTGGGAGGTTTCTGAGCTAGAGCTTTATGTTCTGTCATTGGCGGTCAAGCCCACATCTGTAGTTATGTTAGTTTCCCGAGGCTGCCGTAATGAAGAACCACATTTTTGCTGTTGTTCAGTCACTAAGTCACGTCCCGCTCTTTGTGACCCCATGGACTGGAGCACCCCAGCCTCCTCTGTCCTCGACTCTCTCCCGGAGTTTACTCAAATTCATGTTCATTGAGCACGTCCGGTGATGCCACCCCACCATCTCACCCTCTGCTGCGCCCTTCCCCCGCCTTCAGTCTTTCCAGCACCTGGCCCTTTTCTAACAAGTCACTTCTTCACGTCAGGTGGCCAAGTTATTTGAGCTTCAGCACCGATTCTTCCAATGAATATTCAGGGTTGATTTCCTTTAGGATTGTCTGGTTTGATCTCCCGTCTGTCCAAGGGATTCTCAAGAGTCTCCTCCAGCACCACAATTCAAAATCATCAGTTCTTCAGCACTCAGCCTTCTTTATAGTCCAACTCTCACATCCATACATGACTACTGGAAAAAACCTTAGCTTTGACTAATTAGACTTTTGTCACCAAAGTAATGTTTCTGCTTTTTAATATGCTGTCTAGGTTTGTCATAGTTTTCCTTCCAAGGAGCTAGAGTCTATTAATTTCATCTTTGCATTTGCTCTTTGAAGTGATTTAGGAGCCCAAGAAAATAACGTCTGCCACTGTTTCCACTGTTTCCCCATCTATTTGCCATGAAGTGATGGGACCAGATGCCATGATCTTAGTTTTTTGAAAGTTGAGATTCATGCCAGCTTTTTTACTCTCCTCTTTCACCCTCATCTAGAGGCTCTTTAGTTCCTCTTCACTTTCTGCCATTAAGAGTGGTATCATCTGCATATCTGAGGTCGTTGATTTGTCTCCTGGCAGGTGGCTCAGTGATAAAGAACCTGCCTGCTAATGCAGGAGATGCGAGTTTGATCCCTGGGTCGGGAAGATCCCCCAGAGGAGGGCATGGCAACCCACTTCAGTATTATTGCTGAGAAAATCCCATGGACAGAGGGGCCTGGCAGGCTGCACTCCATGGGGTCACAAAGAGTCTGACACAACTGAGTGACTGAGCGCGCACACACACACACACACACACAATCTCGCTTCCAGCTTGATTCATACAGCATTTCACATGATATACTCTGCATGTAAATTAAATAAGCAGGGTGACAATATACAGCCCAGTCATACTCCTTCCCCAATTTGGAACCAGTCCACTGTTCCATGTCTGGTTCTAACCATTGCTTCTTGACCTGCGTACAGGTTTCTTAGGAGACAGGTGAGGTGGTCTGGTACTCCCATCTCTGAGAATTTTCCACAGTTGGGCGTGTCCACACAGTCAGAGGCTTTAGCTTAGTCGAGGAAGCAGAAGCAGGTGTTTTTCTGGAACTCCCTTGCTTTCTCCATGATCTAATGAATGTGGCATCAAACAATATAAAGTTATTTTCTCACATTTCGGGAGACTAGAAATCCTAGATCAAGGTGTCGACTGGGCCGTGCTCTGTCTGAAGGCTCCAGGGGGAGAGACTCTGACTCTTCCAGCTTCCGGTGTTTGCTGGACAACCTTGCTCATGGATACATCACTCCACCCCGTCTCCATCCCCTTGGCTGTCTTCTTCCTGGGCATCTCCACAGTGTCTTCTCCCTGTGTTTGCCTCTGTAACCAAACCTCCCTTCTCATAAGGACCTCGGGCTTATGGGACGAGGACCCACCCAACCTAGCGGTCTCATTTTTTAAAATTAATTAGTTTTAATTGGAGTAGCAGTCTCATTTTGACTTGATTCCATCTGCAAACACCCTTCAACACATCTTTTGGGAGGTACACGATTCAACCTATACTAAGAGGGAGCAGAAAGTTGGGTGTTTTTGTAGGGTCAGCTGTGCATTTAGCTGGAGAGGAGACAGGCGGCTGCTACGTGTCTGGCTTCCGGGGCCTCTCCACACCCCCAGGACCTGCTTGTTGGTGCAAAGCCGAGGTGACACAATGCCAGATTGTGCCTTCACTCTCATTCTGCCCTCCTCTGCCATGCCCAATCAGTCCCCACCTGGTCATTTACCTGGCATTCATCCTTTCCTTCCTGTGTCTGTTACCACTGCCTGAATCCAGCTCACTAACATGCTCCCCTTTCTTGCTGGACAGACTGCTCACCCCTGACCCCTTTAGGTCAGCCTGCATCTGGCCATCACAATGGGACTGCTTCTGTCTCGTACCTAAAACTCAAACAGCTCTCTTCTGCCTCTAAGATAAAGTCTGAATTCTGTCTTTCATACACCTTATCACCAGTCCGGCCCCTCCCCATCCCTTCTGCTCTGCCAAGATCATTCTAAACTGCAGGTCTCTGCACTGCTCTCTCCACATGGATCCCCTTCTCCTCCTGCCTTCCTTCAGTCTTTCCCAGGGTCTTTTCAAATGACTCAGCTCTTCGCATCAGGTGGCCAAAGTATTGGAGTTGCAGCTTCAACATCAGTCCTTCCAATGAACACCCAGGACTGATCGATCTCCTTTAGGATGGACTGGTTGGATCTCTTTGCCATCCAAGGGACTCTCAAAGAGTCTTCTCCAACACCACAGTTCAAAAGCATCAATTCTTCTGCACTCAGCTTTCACCATAAGGACTTCAAAGTTCTCATTAAAAAAAAAAAAAAGCAAGAATATGAGGTGATGGATGCACTAATTAACCTAGTGGGGGAGAATCTTTCCACAATATGTATGCATATCAAATCATTACATTGTACCCTTTAGGTATTTTACAATTTTATTTGTCAGTTATTTGTTGTTGCAGCTGTTCAGTTGCTAAGTCATGTCCAGCTCTTGGAGACCCAATATACTGCAGCATACCAGGCTTCCCTGTCCTGCACTGTCTCCCAGAGATGGCTCAAATTCATGTCCATCGAGTCAGTCATGCTGTCTAACCAGCTCATACTCTGCTATACCTCAGTGAAAAGCGGTTGGTGTGTTAAGGCAGGTATCCTTGGCAGAAGTAGTGCAGAAAGTGCGTGTTCCTGCCTTAGGTCCGTGGTTCCCCGCTGACAGCTGAGCCTGTCTGGATGCGGTGTGTGTAGGAAGACTCTGAGGGTATCTGAGTCTAAGGGTGTGGGGATGAAAGCGGCGAGGGAGGAAATGATGTCAAATTCTTCCCGGAACTGGAAATACTAGTGGGGGCTTGTCTCTGTCAGATGAGCCTTTGCTGAAGTTTTCCAGAATGATGGCTCAAAGCTGGTCACGTATTCCTGTCTGGGGCATGGAGGGTAAGCTGAGGACTTGGAAGGGGTTCAGGGGACACTTAGTTAAATTGGGCCGAGAGGCGTCCGTTCTCCGCCCTCTGTCTTGGTAGTGATGCTGCGGAAAGTGACTCCACTGAGATCCGACAGCCCACAGAGAACAGAGATGAATTACGCCTTTTCTTGCCCACTTTAAGTACTTTTCTGCAAACCATGTCTTTTAGATTTGAACTATCAGTCTTGCCCAGACTGGAAGAAAGACTGCAGAACCAACTATTTTTCTGTATTCTGGGAAGCGCTGTCCAAAAGGGTAAGAACCGGGGTGGGATGGGGCGGGATGGGAAGGAGTCTCTAGGGGGAGGGGATATGTGTGTATTTACGGCTGGTTCATGTTGTTTGGGCTTCCCTGGTGGCTCAGATGTTAAAGTGTCTGCCTGCAATGCGGGAGACCTGAGTTCAATCCCCGGGCTGGGAAGATCCCCTGGAGAAGGAAATGGCAACCCACTCCAGTAGTCTTGCCTGGAAAATTCTATGGATAGAGGAGCCTGGTAGGCTATAGTCCCTGGGATCGCAAAGAGTCGGACACGACCGAACAACTTCACTGACACTGGCATATTGTTGTATGGTATGAAACCTACCGAACACTGTAAAGCAGTTATCCTCCCATTAAAAATATTAAAATAAAATAATTCACTTTATGAAGAAAAACAAGCAAAAGGGTAAGTACCACAAATGAAATTCTAGAATTTGGAGGCCAAAGAGCTTAGGAGGTCATCCTGTCAGTGGTTGGTTTTAATTCACTTGAAGAAGGGAGCATCCCAGATCCTTTTAGAAACAAAGGTTCTTTCCTGAGAAAAATGTTCGTAAGCACGTGCCAAAAGATTTTCACATGTAATCTGTGGCCATTCATGGAAGGTCTCGGGCTCTGGATGAAGATTCCCTGCTTCTGCCTTTTTTTGGAGCTTTGGCTGCCAGGCGCCTCTGGCTTGGTTGGATCCTCTGATCCAGGTATTGGCCAATCTTAGAATCCTGGAACAGTCTTAATAATCTACACTTGCAGACCATTTACTGTGTGCTCGGGGTAGTCCTCAGAGTTTTACATGGATTAAAATTAGGCATCCTCACAAGAGCTCTGTGAAGCAGGTACCTGGAGCGTCATTCCTGTTGGAGGTGCAGGTAAATCAGCATTCCACTAAAGAGGTGCAGCAGGTGGCAAATGTGGGTGTTTATCGCAAGGTGTCTGACTCCAGATCCAGGATTTAGTCTGGGAAATACCATCTTCCCCTCTATCTATGTATTTCTGGCCTCATTCTAAGCTGCTTTTGTGCTTACTTTTAAAATACTTTTATTTATTTATTTATCTATTTTTGCCTGCACTGGGTCTTCATTGCTGCGTCCGGGCTTTCTCTAGTTGCAGAGCAAGGACTCCCCACTGGTGTGGCTTCTCTTGTTGGGGAGCACAGACTCTGGCCGCACAGGCTTCCGACGTTGTGGTGCATGGGTTTCATTGTTCTGCAGCATGTGGGATCTTCCCAGACCAGGGATCGAACCTGTGTCCCCTGCATTGGCAGGCAGATCACTAACCCCTGGACCACCACAGGAGCTCTGTCCTGGCCTCTGTGCACTTGCCTCAACCCCTACCAGGCAAAATCCTATTCGTGCTTTAGGACTTGGTGTTTGTCCTCCTCTGTTCCGCCTTTGCTGGTTCTTCCTGCTCTCCATCACAGGGTATTTGGACATCTGGCTGTCCTTCCCTCTCCTCCATCCATAGACTTTCCTTGGGCGCCCACTCACAGTGCCCTGGCTGCAAGGCTCCAGCGCTGTGGAGGTGGGTGGGACGGCCAGGCCCACAGCTCTCAGTCCCAGGGGCTAAACCCACGTTAAACTCATCATCACAACGCCCTAGAGCTGGATAATGTGAGAAGCGGATGCAGAGATAGTCCCAGGGGTCTGGGTGGGCCTCCTGGAAGAAATAGTAGATTGCATAGTGTTTTATTTTGTATTAGCATTTAGCCAATTAACAACACTGTTGTGAGAGTTTCAGGTGAATAGTGAAGGGACTCAGCCATACATATACAGGTATCCATTCTCCCCTCCCTAGCTTGCATATTTTTGTTCATCTTATTTTCCCCAGTGTCTAGCGAAGATTCCAGCTGAATCTTTGTTGCATGAAGAACTAAAACCCCATGCTCAAAAATATCCACTCATTCGTTCATTCTCCACTCCTCATTATGCTGGTGCAAGCTTCAGGGCCACCATCTGTCACAGTTTCTTTTCCCTTGGCATTTTCTTTTGTCTTTCTTCGTTTCTTATGGCTGAAAGGTCTGCTCCCACTGAATGAGATGTGTGGCGTCTACAGTGCGTGGTGTTAGGAAAGCAATGTTACCGTCCTTCTCCGGCAATGATGCTGTTCTTACTCATCCCGACTTCTGCCTTCTGAACTGCCAGCTTAGCAGCGATGAAGCTGAACTTCATTGTTCAGACACAGATTGGCACAATGGCTTCCAGAACTCTGGAGGGAAGCATATGCCCTCCAGTAATTTGGGGTAAACGTTCCTTAGACCTCGCTGTCTGAGGTAGAACCCTACGGGCGGTTCCTCTTTCACCAGCTGATGTTAAGAGCTGTGGGGATGGACCTGCTGGGGACTGACAGTGAAGTTTGCATGCTGAGGAATGGTGTTTCTGTTTTTAAGTTTGCAGAAAATGTCTGTGGTACAGTCCAGGTGGTGCTCAATGGATCCATCGAGAACGCCTTTGATAAAATGAGGTACTTATTTCTTTGCCTCCTGTGGGTTAGGGTTAACACAGTCTCCTCCTGGCTCTTTTGCCTTTAGAAGAATATGCTTTTCATGTCGAACTTCAGGACTGAAGATGTGGGCTGAGAAAGGTAAAATGTATTCTATGGTGAGATTTTTGTCTAAGTCAACACTTGTGTCCAGTTTCTCCGGTTTAAAATTCCCCGAGGTCCTTGCTCGGGGTCCGACTCTTCCTCTTAGCTTGTTGAGGCCTGCTCGCTCTCCTGTAGGGCTTCCCAGGTGGATCAGTGGTGAGAAATCTGCCCGCCAATGCAGGAGACACAGGAGGCCTAGGTTCAGTCCCTGGGGCGGGAAGATCCCCTGGAAGAGGGCACGGCCACCCACTCCAGTATTCTTGCCTGGAGAATCCCCATGGACGGAGGAGTCTGGCGGGCTGCAGTCCACGGGGCCAGAAAGAGTTGGGCACAACTGGCTGCCTGAGCATGCCCGCTCTCTCTCTCATGACACTCCATCCTGCCCATTTCCCTTTGCTCACCCTGTTTCCCCACAGGGCCTGTCCCCTCCTTCCTTCTTCCTGTCTCGTCTGCTCCTCACGAACATCTGCCCGAGACTCCTCTCTCCTCCCTGGACAGTATGGATCCCAGTGAATCTGCTGCTGAGACCAGCGGGACTCTGCCACGCCTTTGACCTGCATTCCATCTTTTGCAGGCAGTGTCAGCAGTTTATTGTCACGGTTAAAAGCGGGGACTCCAGAGGTCATGACATCTTACCTGGGTGACCTTAGCAGGGCCCCACTAGTCTCTGTGTACCTGAGGAGGTGCTGGTGATGTGAAGATGGATGGGAGGGTGTATGAAAAATGCTGAGCCACTTGCCACACAGAGAAAGTGCTGGTTGAGTATCTCGTTTCGCCCACACCACTGACCCTGGTCTCACCCCGGTTTTCCTTCGCTGACCCCCTTCTGCACTTCCAGGTTCTACCACATTGCTTACCTTGGTCTTTCTTCTCCAACCTTTCCCTGGATAAGGCTGATTGAGATGAGGGAACATATATTAATGTGCCCCAGGGGCTTCTGAGCAGTGGTGGAGCAGTAAAGAATCTGCCTGCCAATGCCGGAGATGTGAGTTTGATCCCTGAGTTGGGAAGATCCCCTGGAGAAGGAAATGGCAACCCACTCCAGTATATTCTTCTCCGTGGGCAGAGGAGCCTGGTAGGCTACAGGCCATGGGGTCGCAAGAGTTGGACACGACTGAGTGACTAAAGCACCACCACCGGGGACTCCAAGTGCCCCTCAAATGAATTTTCCTGCTTTCCTCTTTCTTTTCTTAAAAATGTTTATTTGGCTACATCCTGTCTTAGTTGCAGTTGCCCGCATGGTATGCGGGATCTTAGTTCCCCAGCCAAGGTTTGAACCCACATTCCCTGCACTGCAAGCGGATTCTTAACCACTGGACCACCGGAGAAGCCCCCCCTTGCCTCTGTTAATGTTTGAGTCCTCCAGGAAGCCTTTGTCCTCTTGTCTTCTTCTGACCCCAACCTCGCAGGCTTTTGGGTGCAAGTGTGAACATTTCAGAATTTTGTAATCTGGTATTAGGGGCCCAAGTACTTGTAACAGGAGTGGTGGTGCCTAATGGGGAGAGCTTAGGGCTGGGGTCAGAACAGGACATAGGGGTCTTTCAGCGACATGCTTCTCAAACTCACTGTGCGTGGGGATCACCTAGGAATTGTTGGGCTGCTGGCTCAGATTCAGCAGGTGGTGTTGGGCAGAGATTCTGTGATTCTAATGAGCTCCTTACCTTGGTCTAAGGAGTGTAAGATAATTGTATCTTCTTGGAATAGCAAGTGTGTAAAGAATCAGCATCAGTGTACAGATGAAGACCCTTATTCTGAGAATCTTCCTTATTTGGGGTCATGCTGAATAAGTAAAGGTGGCTGATTCTGATGCAAATCATGGGTCACTTCCAAACGGTAGGTTCTAACCAGTGACACCCGCCCGATGACTTTTCACAGGGGTTGTGGGTGCTCCAACAATTCAGTTTGAGGTGAACAATGTTCTGTGTCTCTTCTATCTTAGCATATTTGGACGAGTGGAAGCCCCTAACTTGAGTCGAATGGTTACACTAAAGGCTTGGCTGGTACATGACCCTGGAAAACCTCCCAGGTATGTGTTACTACTTTGTACTCCTGTATGTTCTCAGGCTTATTTCAGGAATCAGTCCATGAACCACTCCACAGTCACAGGGATGAATGCGCTGAGAAAAGACTGGCTCAGGAAATGAATGGAGCCTTACTCTACCTTTACCCCATCCCAACATAGCTCAGTTGGTAAAGAATCTGCTCAGCAGGAGGCCCTGGTTCAATTCCTGGGTCAGGAAGATCCGCTGGAGAAGGGACAGGCTACCCACTCCAGTATTCCGGCCTGGAGAATTCCATGGACTGTATAGTCCATGGGGTTGCAAAGAGTCAGACACGACTGAGCAACTTTCACTCACTCCACAGTCTCTTAATTGTGTCTCCGTGGTGGGTCTCTACCTAGTTCACACCTTTGACTCTGCTGTGGACCAGTGAGCTCTCTGAAGCTCCCTCCACGTCATGTCTTCATCCCAGGGCCCTGCCCCAGGCCCGCCTCCTGGAAGACACCAAGCAACTCCAAGGAAATGCATGTGAGCTCTTGTTATTTTAACACTTTCTTCCTTTTTCCTCCAGCGACTCATGCTCTGGCCCCTCTATAAAGGAACTGGAGTCCATCCTAAATCAAAGGAGTGTCAGATTTATCTGCAGGGATAATCTCAGGTAACTGACACTCTCCCGCCACGTGCAGATGCTCTTCCCTTGGGCCGTGACGGCAGTCTGGGTGGTGACCTTCAGCAAACTCAGTCCTTCTCCCAGCTTAGCCCGGAAGCCGTTTCCAGCCAGTGGCCTTCTGATGTCCACTCCCCTGCCCTGTTCCTCGTCCTTCCCCACACGACTCTAGCAGTGATTTGCCTCTAAATGTGACCCAGGTTTGAGGGCATCTTTTCTGCTTTCCCATGTGAGAGGCCTGACCCAGAGCTCCTGACTTTCAGGGGTATAGAAGCACATTTTGCCAAAAGCAAAGGATTTATAGAAGCCTTGTGACTTCGCATATCTTGCAGGTGGGGTTTCTTTGGCTGGGTCTCAGTTGTAGATGCATAATACTTGGTGGCTTACACACAGACCCAATTAGCTCAGCTCACACCCAGGTCAGCTCCCCTGAGTGCCTAGCTCCTCTAGATACCAACACTCAGATAAGCTCAGCGGGGCTTTACGCAGACACTCACAACAGACAGGAGGCCTGACTTCAAGCCTCCACGTTAATTCTCCTTAAAGCCCACCACCCTCTCATCTGTAACATCGGAATGGACTGGATGATTCCTAAGACTTCCTAGCTTGGCCTCACTGACCCTTGAGGGTCAGCCCCCTTGGGTAGAATAGCAGCTGCAGTCATCGTCTCATATCATAAAGAGCAAGCTTTATGATTTTCTAATTAAAAAATGTAAAATCTCAAAACTGTTTCCCCATAGCACCTATTTATTGGAGGAAAGTTTAAATTACAGATAGGCATATGCTTTTTGGTTTTTTTTTTCTTATTTTCAAAAGTTTTAGTTATTTGCTTATTTTTGACCGTGCTGGTCTTTGTGGCCACGTGGGCTTGTCTCGAGCCGTGGTGTGCAGGCTTCACATTGCGGTGGCTTCTCCTGTCGCGGCTCTCAGGCCCTAGGGCGTGCAGGGCTCAGTAGTTGGTGGCACGCGGGCTCGTTTGCTCCACAGCAGGTGGGATCTTCCCAGACCCGGGATCGAACCCATGTTCCCTGCATTGGCAGCTGGATTCTTACCCACTGCACCACCAAGGGAAGCCACAAGCATATATTTTTTAAAATCACCTGTGACTCTGTTATCATAACCGAGACCCCTCACTACTTTTAAGATGTGTGGTCAGTATTTAATTCCAGGCAGAGATCTGTGCTAAAAGCATCTTTGGAAATTTTCCCATATGTGACAGATAGATACGGGACAGATAGTTCCCAGAGAACAGGTGCAGAGAGAAACACTTTCTCAAAGAATGTCGAAGCTGAAATGCCTCCCATCATTTCCCTGTCACCACCCTTTCCCACTAACCATGTCAGAAAGGCAGGAGGACAGAGTCAAGGAACATTCACTGAAGCCTTTGTCTCTCTGATGACCTGAATTCCCCATCAGCTGGCTGGCTTCTCTCTGGAAACTGCCAGAAAATAACACAAGCTTTCTATAGCAGTTAAGTGGGAAAACAGAAAAAAAGGAACAAATATAAAGGAGACATAGCAGACATCTGACCAGTCTAAGTTACTCAAAGGTATTTTGCAGTAAGAGAATGGAATACAACAACCCAGGACAAGATTAAGGAATGTAAGTGAATCATTCACAAAACTCTTTTATCTCTTCCCTTACGTTAACCATTCACTTTTTTTTTTTTTTTATGAATGGCCCAAGCTGTAGGTTCTGGGTGGGCTCACTCATCCTTCACCTTGCAAAAATAATTAAGTATACCTTCCCACCTGGACTTGTGGAGTGGCCTACCTAGGAAGCCAGCACCTGTCACTCAAGCATCAGTTCATGTGACCTTACACTTGGGGACCATATTTGAAATCACTTCTGGTTTGCTCCAGCCATGAGGTCATGATATATTCAGCATATCACTTCTGGTTTGCTCCAGCCATGAGGTCATGATATATTCAGCATAACCAGACCCTCAGGGTCCCCTGTTGTATCTAAAGTTCCCTGTTGTACGGAAATGTTGTATCTAACAGTTCGACCACTTTGCAAGAAACTTGCTTGTCTCTAGGGGAGCTCAAAGTGAATGTCGTGGATATAGATGTCGACTGTAGACTCCTCTTCCACAGCATTATTTCCTTGAGGATGAGGATGCTTTTTCCACCTAGAATGTATTCATGTGGGTTTTCCGGGTGGTGCTAGTGATAAAGAACCCATTTACCAGTGCAAGAGACATAAGAGGTGAGGGTCCGACCCCTGGGTCGGGAAGATCCCCTGGAGTAGGAAATGGCAACCCACTCCAGTATTCTTGTCTGGAATATTCCAGACAAGATTGGACAGAGGAGTCTGGCGGGCTGTAAGACACGGGGTCTCAAAGAGTCAGACACGACGGAGCATGCACACACACACACGCGCGTGTTCATGTGGGGGATCCCAGACCGCAGTGTAGGTGAGGATGGATGACTCTACTTAGAGCCAATGTGCCCAGCTGGTCATGACAGAGGGCTAGAGATGAGCCTGAGACGGCCCCTCCTATAAGCCCAGGGATGCTGCTAGCTACTTCTAAGGCTCTCTTTCTTGACTCACATTTAACAAAATTAGATTTGACTGCAGTTTAAGGAACCACTTTCCCCCACTAGACAACCCCCTCCACTAAGTGCCAGCCACTCCCACTGAACTCCGTTGCTTTGTGATTTGATTTTTAAGAAACAGACTCATTCACCTGCCTATACTATAGGAGGTACTCTGTGCAAAGAATCAGGGTCCTCTCGCTGACGGCAACCAGTCCTCTTCTAGAGAGTCTATGACCTCTTACTGCCTGATGCTTTGACCCAACATGTCCTCAGGAAGTTCTTGAAGAAGAGAAAACCAGTCCTCAATGGAAACTATGGGGTCTGTCCTCTTTGGTTGCTGCTTCTGCTGTTTCTTGACCATCAGCCGAGGATCACAGCACCTGTCTGTGACATGTGTGAGCCCGACATTCGTTCCCATCTCCACACATTATCATCAAGCATCAGTTATCTATTTCTATGGCGTGGCACATGAAATGAAGCTAAATTGGGCTATAGTTTCAGTCATTCACGCTCGGACTTGACCATTCTCGGTATTGTCACTGCAGCAGAAGGAACTTGTGTGGATGCTAAGTGGCCCCTGCATACTTTTGTTGTTAATGAAGGGCCTTGTTTCACTGGCGAGTTGACCAAGATGTATCGTACTGCCTGTTGACCTTTTTTTCTTTCTCATCATAGCCGTGACCAGTTTCTTGGAAGTTACTGAGGATTCATTTTGCAGATGAATCGATCAGCATGGTTGAGCCCTGGCAGTATAGATCAACACACTCGATTCAGGAGACACGCTGGTGGAAAGCTGGGACTTTGGGGGGAAACTTTCGTTGTAAAATTAACACCAGAGATGGAAGCTTTTCCTCCAGAATCTTAAAATAGCTTATGCTATTGACATAGTTTTTATCTTGATCTAATAGTCAAGAAAAATTAATTATTGTATAAAGTTAGAGTGGAAATTTTATATAGTTTTTTATTTTTTTAATATATGATTCTTTTATATTGCTAATATGTTGGTAACATCCTTTCTGTTGAAGAATGACCTCTCCAAACCTATTGGCCGGTCAAGAAAAATAAATGCCCAGGCTTTTCAGCAAAGATCACATATCAAAATGGATGACCTTATCTCAGGATATATTTTTGTATCTTTCCTACAGATAAAGTATAGATGCCATGGTTATGGGTCATGTTACATTCTGTAAGATGTAAATTAGTCCTGTGCTTGGGGTTTTATCTCTAATCCTTCCAATAGCCCTGTGAGGTTGATATTACTATCCTCCATTTGTTAAATGAGAAGAATAAGTTCAGAAAGTTTATATAATTTCCCAAAAGTCATACATTTAGGTCAAGGTAGAGAATGAATTTGAACTCAACTTTGTTTCAAAACTTCACGTGCTTGCCCTTTCTAGGCAGATAAACTAGATTGATAGTCCTTATGCTGTCTTCTAATGAATGTATGTTGGATTAAATTGAATGCAGTAGAGTCTGAAATGTGATTTTTCTGGATGGCTTCAAAACAGTTACAGTTTTTCATCCTCTTCCTTGCTTTTCCTCATCTTGGTGTCTTACTTGTGTAGTCAGTTAAAATGTATTTATTTGTTCTTGATGCTGACAGTTTGCATCTCACTTAAATTTTACTTGATTGGTCTTGCTTTGGGAATGCTCATTTTTACTACTGTTAAAGAACCAACAATTAACCTTGTTGATTTTGTCATTCTACTTATTTAGGTTTTACTTTCCTCTCTATTATTAGAGATAGAGAGATTCTAATTTCTTTTCATTTCCTTATTCAGCTTCTTAAGATGGAAGTTTAGATCGCTGAATTTGTTGTACATTTTCTTTTCTTATATGTTCATTTTAGTACTATCATTTTTCTTCTGAGTGCTGTCTTTGCTGAAGCTCTTAAAATTTTTGCTATGTCTCTTTTCCTCATAATTTAAAAACATTTTCTGATTTAATTGTTATTTCAAAATGTGTTGCTTAAGTTTTAAACATCAGATATTTTCTAGTTCTTTGTTGTTTTGTCAAAACATAAGATGCATCGAGTGGAGAATTAATAAACTCATTTGGAAACCCTTCAGGGAACCCAGCAGGTGTGTTGAAAGCAGCATACATTTTGGAGTCAGACGTTTCTGGATCCATATTTTGGCATCACTCTATGCTTTAGAATGAAATACCTACTCTCTCTGAACTTCAGCTTCTTCATCACTTAAATAAGGATTATAAATTTACCCTCATCAAAGTGTGGTGAAAACTAAAGAAGATGACAGAAATGACAGTCTAACACAGTGAGTCACGTGTCAGAGATCACTAGAACATAGACTCCCTTCTGCCTGGCCCTTGATTGCCAGTCCAGTTCCCGTCGAGAGTCCTTACAGCTACGGCCACTGCCATCAGGGCAGGGCTTCTTCTCCAGCCCGTTCTCTGCTTTCTTGTGGGATGTGGTCTTGGCTAAAATGAGAATAGATGCTAGGGACCAGTTCTGGTTAAGGTGCAGTCTTGCCTCCTGCCTACCTGCAGAACGTCTTCAGAAATAGGTCCCTGCTAATCCACTGGGTAACCCGGCTGTTTTTCTTCCCACCACTCTGCCTTATTGTTGGGCCAGCTTGCTGAGCTCTGGATCCTTTAATGTACCTTCTTTGTTTACCAGGATACCCCCATGAGGTGGCTCCCTGTGTCAGGAAAATTTTGTCCTTAACATCTCTTATCAGTGATGAAATGGATAGAGTAAAAATCCATTTGTGAGACTCTTCCCCCCCAAGAAGACTGATTTGAGTGCTTAAGGTCAAAGCTGGTGGAGACCAAAGAGGAGGCTGGTCCCCAGGTTGTCACACCTGCTGCAGGACGCCCTGTGGCCCCTGGAGGCGGCTGGGGGCTGAGGTGCTATTTTCTCCTCACACCACCTTTGTATCTTCATTATCGTGACGTTTCATCCGTGCCTCCGCTCTCCCTGTAGTTCTGAGTTTGCATCTTTGCCATTGACCATGCCTCATGGGCCTTCCCTGGTGGCTCAGCTGGCAAAGAATCCGCCTGCGATGCAGGAGACACTGGTTTGATCCCTGGGTTGGGACGATCCCCTGGAGGAGGAAATGGCAATGCACTCCTGTATTGTTGCCTGGAAAATCCCATGAACAGAGGAGCCTGGAGTGCTACAATCCACAGGGTCGAAGGAGTCAGATACAACTCAGTGGCTAAACCATGCGTCTCTAGCCCTAAGGACTTTTTCTGTAAGTAGTCCTCCATATCCCTCTTCTTATAAGTGACATCTCTACCAAATTACTGATTGCTCGTCAACCTCATACTTTACTCGTAAACCTGCTATGCCTTGTCTCCCCTCTTCATTCCTGTGTGCTCTAGAAAAATCCTGTTACTATTCCAACTTTTACACAGCACCATATTCACCCAAAGCCACTTTCAAATACAGTTCTCATAGTTGAAGGGACACACATGCATGTATGCGTATATATGTATTTCTGTGTACACACATTTTTCTCAGTCCATAGGGATGCTACATTTAGTAGGTCTCTCTTAGTCCCATTTGTGTTGACCTGCTTCACACCACATTTGTGTCTCTTATATACTTGGCAGACAAAGCCAAGTATATATCAAATATTTTGGCAAAATGCATTCTTTCGTCGCTCAACAACTTTCTGTGCCTTTTAACTCTCATTGGGAACAAGCTCGCCCAAGTCTGTACACTCCCCGATGGAAGCGATGCCTTAGGAGCCTTGCTGACTTATTTCCTGGCATGCAGTTTCTCCTGAGGACCACTCCCAAGACTGTGACTTGAGCATCTCAAGTAGAATCCACATGGAGCAGAACAACTCTGTGTTTTTGTGGGTTTTTAAAGGGCAAGTGGTTATGTATATGGGTGCAGGTCTTGTATGGCAAATTAGAGTTGTGTGAAGCAAAATGTTAAAATAAACCTACAGCATAACTTTAAAAGGCATTTGTATTTATTTATTTGGAGGATAATTGCTTTATGATGTTGTGTTGATTTCTGCCGTCTGATTGCTTGAGTTGGTCATAATTACATCTCTTTTCTCCCGAGCCTCTCTCCCACCCCCTACCCCCATTCCATCCCTCTAAGTTGCCACAGAGCACAAGACCGGGTCCCCTGTCTTATATAGCAGCTTCCCATAAATAAAAAAAAGGGGATACATGTATATGTATGACTGATTCACTTTGCTCTACAACAGAAATGAATACAACATTGCAAAGCAACTGTACACCAATAAAAATTTATCAAAAAATAAAACAGTATTAGAAAAAGACAGTATTTTATAAATGCAATGTTAACCTAACATTTTCCCACCATTTTTAAATAATGAAGCAATTAATTTCTTTTTGCTCCAGTAACCATCATTTTTTAAACTTTTTATTTCCTATTGGACTACAGCCGATTAACAATGTTGTGACAGTTTCATGTGAACCGTGGAGTTCCTAGCCACACATGTACATGTATCCATTCTCCCCCACACTGCCCTCCCATCCAGGCTGGCACATAACATTGAGCAGAGTTCCCTGTGCTATATGCAGTAAGACCTGTTGCCTATCCGTTTTCAATATAGCAGAAGTCTTCCCAAGTAGCTCAGTGGTAAAGAATCTGTCTGCAATGCAGGAGTCATGGGTTCAGTCCCTGGGACAGGAAGATTTCCCGGAGAAGGGAATGGCAACCCACTGCCATATTGTTGTCTGGAAAATCCCATGGACAGAGGAGCTGGGCGGGCCGCCGTCCATGTGGTCCCAAAAGAGTCGGACACAACTGAGTGACTAAACAATAACAACAGGTCAACCCCAGACTCCCTAACTATCCCCCCCGACCCGTCCCGGATAGCATATGATATGCCGCCTTCTCTGTCTGACTCACTTCGCTCAGGATGACAAATCTCTAGGTCCATCCATGTTGCTACAAATGGCATTACTTCACATTCTTTTTGATGGCTGAGTGATATTCCCTTGTATAGACGTATCACATCTTCTTCATCCGTTCCTCCGCTGATGGACATTTAGTTTGCTTCTTTGTATTGGCTATTGTAAACAGTGCTAGCCATCATTTGAATATATGTTTTTTAATATCAATCCATCAGGGACTCAGTTTCTGGGTGCCACCCCAAGAGGCAAGGGTTAGCTGGCCCTCAGATCACACTCACAAAGCACAGAGGGTTTGAATTGATCCCTAAATAGCGTTTATCCTTGAACTTAATTCAAATTGGCTCATCATGCTTTTTTTTAATCATTTAAGCAAAGTGCAAACAGCACAAGGTAGTGAAAACCGTGGGATTAAGAGACAAGTGACCCAGTGAGAAAGTTCATTAACATCTGTGACTCTCCAGTTTGGAATATATTTACAACAGATATCAATGAATTATACAAAGAATGAATAATAAAGGGCTTTGTGGTATTATTCTTTTAAAAACAATTGTGTCTGCAAAAACTGCTTGCCCTCACGTGTGAAATCTAAGAAAGTCAAACTCATAGTAACAACAAGTGGAAAGGTGGCTATCAGAGCCAGAGGGGTGGGGAACAGGGCAATGCTGGTCAAAGGGTGTTGTAAACTTCTGGTTATAAGATGAGAAAGTTCTGGAGATGTAGTGACTAGGGAAGCTGAAGCTCCAATAATTTGGTCACCTGATGCAAAGAACCGACTCATTGGAAAAGACCCTGATGATGGGAAAGATTGAAGGTGGGAGGAGAAGTGGATGGCAGAGGATGAGATGGTTGGATGGCATCACCAACTCAATGCACATGAGTTTGGGCAAGCTCCGGGAGATGGTGATGGACAGGGAGGCCTGGTGTGCTGCAGTCCATGGGATCACAAAGAATCAGACATGACTGAGCATCTGAACAGAAACAACAAAATAAATATGAAGTTTTCTCACCACACACACATACACACACAGAGGTAACTATGTGAGATGATGAATGTGTTAATTAGCTTAATTGTGATCATCATTGAGCAATGTGTATGTATACCGAAACGTCACATTGTACACCTTAAATACATATCAATGTTTATTTGTCAATCATACCTCAATAAATCTGGGGAAAAAAACCTGCAACAATTATCTATAGGGTTGGAGGAAGAATCAAACAAGCTGGAGATGCTCTTCCAAAGACAACATGGTCTCTCGCCTACCCCACCCCAAGGTCGAGTGAGTCGGGCAGCTGGAGAGAGGATGGATGGTCATTATGGATGTCTTGCAGATGGGGGAGGTGGGAATAGATGCTCAGAGGGGTCCACATAGTCAGTTGAAGACCCGAAAGCTCTCACCATTCATCTTTGTCATCAGAGACATTGAAGAATGAATAGTGCTGTTTGCTTTCCAGCAAGAATCTCAGCTTGGAAGTTTGGAGAATCATGTGATGAAACACCTTGTCCTGTTAAGAAACCTCACTTGAGACCTCCCAGGAGTCGATGTGATGAGATAGTGAAATGTGTGACTATTATTAAGGAACATAATTGTGAAACAACGTTTGGAATCTTGAACCACCGCAGACCTGCAGAGAAGAGAAACCGAAGCATGTTCATCAAACACGTGTATCAACCAGTGACCTTAGCTGCAACAAGTGAATACAGCTCTGGCCGGAAATACATTATCTAAGGAAGCTCAGAGGCTGACAGGTTTTCCAGGAGGGCAGGAGAACAGTTTGGAAGCCACTTAGTCAAGAGCGACCCTCCAGGACTTCCCCGGTGGTCCAGTGGTTAAGAATCCACTTTGCAATGCAGGAAATGTGGATTCGATCCCTGGTCTAGGAACTAAGATCTCAAATGCCACTGAGCAGCTAAGCTAACATGCCACAGCTACTGAGTCCTTCTGCCCCAACTAGAGAATCCATGCACTGCAACAAAAAATCCCGCATGGAAAACCAAGATGTGACACAGCCAAATAAAGAAATATTTTTTAAAAAGAGCAACATTGCACATGACTCCACAGACAGGTCAGGTCGAGGAGTCATCCTTGCCCCAAGCACACTCAGCTGTCACTCTGTCACTGTCAGATGTGGTCACCGTTGCTTCCGGGAGTAGAAATAACTGAAGTGGGTGGTGCATGGTGAAGCCCAGGGAGCGGGGCCCTT